TCAAAAAAAAAAAAAAAAAGACCCACCTCCAGCCAGGCCGGGTGGCTCATGCCTGTAATCCTAGCACTCTGGGAGGCTGAGGAGGGAGAATCTCTTGAGCTCAGGAGTTTGAGACCAGCCCGAGCTAGAGCGACACCCCATCTCTACTAAAAATAGAAAAACTAACCAGTTGGGCTGTGGCGCCTGTGGCTCAAAGCAATAGGGCGCCAGCCCCAAATGCCGGAGGTGGTAGGTTCAAACCTGGCCCCGGACAAAAAAGAAAAAAAATAAAAAAGGAAAACTAGCTAGGCATTGTGGTGGGTTCCTATAGTCCCAGTTACTTGGGAGGCTGTGGCAGGAGGATCACTTGAGCCCAGGAGTTTGAGGTTGTTGTTAGCTATGCTGAGGCCATAGCACTCTAACCAAGGCAACAGAATGAGACTCTGTCTCAAAAATTAAAACAAACAAAAACCCTCAGGTGCACGGACAGTCCCGTAAAGTATGCTCTGTGACATTCCTGGGTGACCCCTGACTATTTACAGCACTGCTTGCGTCCTGATCAGGTTGTAAGCTCTTGGGAAATACAAACAGCTTAAAACGCTTCTTTGTATTCCCTGGTTCATGGCATGGGGCATCTGTTTAACCAATGTCAGTGGGTTTCCCAATTGCAGAAAGAGTAGTTGGTGATGCCAGAGGATGAGTCAGTCAGACTGTGATGGTCCTTTAAAGCGAGCGTCTCTACAAAAACTTTAAGGCCTGGTCCACATGGGTGTTAAGCTGGACCACAGAAGTCTTGTCTCCCCTGCCCAATGATTTTAACTTCCTCAAGGACAAGGACAGTGACACAGATCTTTGCTACTCCACAGTACCCAGGCAGAATCAATGCTCCATACTTACCTGGGTCTTCCCGAGGATACTATGCTCATGAGAATGGTGTACACTTCCAAACAATTTTCTTATTATGGCTCCTGACTAGTAGAGAAGCCATTTTTAGGGTCTCTGACACCCTGAGATGTAAGACAGGAGGGAATGCATCTATCACAGAGACCACCAATCAAAGCTGGTGGGCATCAGGAAAGAGACGCATTAATCGGAAAGTTAAGGACTTGGGAAGGCTGATCCCATCTCTCCTTTGAGTCTAGCTGAAACTTTATTGTCTTTGCTCTGGTGGTGGCCTCTCCCTACCCACGCTTTTCTATCCATATGAAAGGCTCGGAGTTAACATGCCTTCCGCATGCCACCAGCAGGCACCTGGACTAGCCCGTCCACACGCCGCCAGCAGGCACCTGGACTGGCCCTTGCACACGCTGCCAGCAGGCACCTGGACTGGCCCTTGCACATGCCGCCAGCAGGCACCTGGGCTCGCCCTTCTACACACTACCAACAAGCACCTGGACTGGCCTGTCCACATGCCACCAGCAGGCACCTGGACTGGCACTTGCACACACCGCCAGCAGGCACCTGGGCTCGGCCTTCCACACACCACCAACAAGCACCTGGACTGGCCCTTCCACACACTGCCAGCAGGCACCTGGACTGGCCCTTCCACACA